GTCAATCATGTCACATATCGATATCTCCGATATCCACGGTGCAGGGAAGCTTCTCTTGGTGTTCTTGCCAATCAGCCAGGATTTCGCGCATCTTTGAGGTTTGGGCCTTCAGAAAGCAATGCCCAGCTTTGACACTTTCACATCATCCCTCTTCTGATCCATGTGTGAATGAAGCTGTGACTGTGAAGGATGCAAATCGCACCTGAACATGGGCATTCTTGGATCTCAAACCTTTGATGCGGGAGATGAGGAGCAAATCCTGATCGAACATGCTATCCGTCAAGACATTGTCAAGCCGCCAACAGCTATTTTTTGTGCTACACTTTAAAATTTAGCAGTGCTGTAACAAGCTCTCACAAAAACACGTTGATCTTGCCTCGTCCAGCGGCTCTATCATGGCTCGCCCAAGGACAAATTTGTTCTAAGCGAATCGTTGATGTCTTGATGACTCTTAGCTGTGCATGCTGTGCTCCATCCTCCAGATGTTTTTTGTGAAGTCGGTACTACCGGCGTAGCAGACTGAGGGTCTGCTGCAAATCACGATTGCTGCATTGTTTCATGGGTCATGGCATGTCATGGCATGTCATGGCATGTCATGGCTCATGGGTCATGGTGTTAGGTCGCCTAGATATTGCAGATTATTGCAGATGATTGCAGCCCTTGAAGGCTTGTGAAGTATTCTGTTGCATCTCCGTAAACTTTTAAACTGACTGAACAGCTGCCAGAAATCCATACTGTCCATACTCCACAATCTCCAGGGATCTCCAGGGTAGTATTCCTTAGGGATGTGGTCTATTTGAGGTATAATTTGAGGGATAAGTTCTCCAAACTCCGGCTTGGATTTCCATTCACAGCATTTTCTTCGTCGCGCGACCACCACTCCGTGTTGGAGCAAGATGTGTAAAATGTGTAAATGAAGGTGAAAATCGGAAGCGATCCTATTTTCAGCAAGTCAGAAGTTGAACATCTTGAAATGTCATGAAATGTCATCTTGCCATCATGGCCATCATGGCCATCAGTGCCCTGTATTCAGAAGCCTGTGCTGTCAAGGTCATTGAAGTGTTCCAAATTGCGCTGAAGACACTACGAAACAAGAAAGGCACAAAATGCACATGTAGTGATACAAAGTTAAATCATGTTAAATCGATCCGTAAAAATCCTTTGACTTAAGATGACTTAACATGACTTAACCATATCTACTCCAAATGTGTATTAACCATACTCCAAAGGTGTACTATACAGTTTGTTCAATGGTTGGTTCTTCGCCTATTCCGTGGCGAGATCTTCGGAATGCGACTCGAAGGCATCCGCGGCGTGAAGCTGCTCTTGACCTAAAACTCGAGTCACGGTGCGGGCACGGCGGGCACCACAACTTGACTTGGACATGACGACATGGCATGGACATGATCTTTTCTCTGAAGGGGCTGCAAGCATTGTAAGCTGCTTGTTTTTCGTGTGGTCTTCGAAGGATCTTCGTATGGAATTTGGACACGACTGACAGGTGCCAGGCATTTTCCAATCGTTGCAGAATGCCCAAATTCTCCTGGAGGCGAAAGCAGACTCCAGCTGTCCAAAACGCCAAAAAAAGATCAAAAATGGACAAATCAAGCGGAAACCTGTCACAGAATGATACAGAATGCCCAAAAAAACTAAAGGTTGATGAATTGGATTGAATCGGTGTCCCAATGTCGCCAATGTCTTAGTCCTCCTTGATGCGGTGTTGGGCCCGCCTGACACAAAAAACGAGATGGAAACGCCATAATGATTACAGAACATCCAAAAGGTGGGATACATTTTTTGAAATCTGGACCTTCGACAGATAGCATACTTGTGAAGCTTGTCCCTGAGAATATTTTCGTGATCAGCATGCATCCAGCATGCCCTACGTGTGCCTTCGGTTGACTTCACAAGACGAAGTGTGCTGATTTCGGGTCTGCCTCAAACTCAGCAAGTTTGGTCAGCATTGTATGACCTGTCCTGAAACATGCCTATCTCCATCAGTTAAAATGCACCTGGTTTGATGTTAAACTCGCTGGTCAAGTTTCTTAGGCGCTTCAAGCAGAAATAAGATGACCTGCAAAATCTCCAATTTAATTTACCTGGTGTAAAAAAATATCTGGGTGGAAAAGAAAACTGGTGAACCTTTCCTTCAAGATCTCATCTGCAACACACCTTCCATATTCCTATCATATGCCTATCATATTCCTGTCAAATCTTCACCGCCAAAGCACTGCGTGTAGCTTTTCCTCGGAGATTTTGCGACATTCCTGGTGGCTCCGACTGGTTCTGGCCCCTGATGGGATGTCCATGCCTGAAGCACGCGAAGCACAAAGCAGACTGAGACTGTCACCCTTCAAAACCCTGCGAAAAGGCAAAAGGACTAATAGTTGTAGTTATAACATGTTATAACATGTTATAACAGCTCAACTATTTCAACTGGATAATTGTTGAACAGGTTGGGAAATAGTTTGAAATTTACGAGGGTCAAGCCTTCTTGTCTCTCTCGTTACAAAGTAAGAAGTCAATCGAGCACTACTCAAATGACCCATGTGTAGATAAAAAAACACCGGAAAGTCCGTGAGACGAATCTCTTCATCCGGGCCAAAAAAACCCAGCATACCATCTCGAAAGAAAAATATTCTTCTTGATGGGGAACAAGAAGGAAAGCAGGGACAACTGAGTTTGCAGATGTTTAATTGCCTTGACGTGGTCTGACAGGATTCTGAATCTTGTTCCAGCAGCTTGATAACTTCTCGGTGCTGAGTTTCTTTCAAGTTGATGAGCGCTTGAAAAACCATTGTGTTTCTAAAACAGTCCATTCAAGAATTGAAGTTGTCTAAGTGGCTCGAGAATTGTCAGTAGGCCAAACGGGACTGGAAAAGCATGTACATGTTCGTTGCTCACGCTTCTTGCAAGCCTTCATATACTCTGGCTGGAAAGGTATGTCTAATGAATCTAGCAGCGTTGACAAGTGAACTCCAAAGTTCCAAGACCCAGTTCACAATTCACATCATTGCTATGCAAATTGTTTTGAGCGTTCAATCTGGCCCTTTCATCTTTCTTCATCTCTGGATAATATGCGCCCCCTGATTTGTGCTGATCTGGCCTGTAATCTTGCTGCTTGGCGCATTCTCGCTTGTATCTGCCCTTGCGCTTCCTCTATTTCCTGCCAATCCACAGCTTGAACGAATCTGCCGTTGTCATGATGAAAGTATGGAGCTTCTAGGATGCAACAAGACATACCATTGATTTATACATATATCATATATTTACAAGACATCACAATATACACAATACATCACAATACATATCAATACATATTTATCAATTTTATTCAATTTTCAATGTTCTTCCCAAATCTGCAACGGGGCGGCCTTCAGGGACAAGCCCTGGGTCTGTGTGGCGAGCTGCTCCTGGCTTTTTGTGATCGACCCCAGGCCCAGCAACGTAGGAAACGCTGGTGAGATGCTCGTGTTCAATGCACATTGTGTTGATGTAGATATAGAATTATACTATAAAATGCTATAAATATAGAATGATAGAGAATAAATATGAATAAATGAATATAAATGAGAAAAAAATATATATAATAATATACTATGAATTTCTCACAACATTTCTATGGTCAATTGGTTTTGTGTATCCAAGGTGGATTTCAACGGCGTCCGTATCTTTTCGTACAGATGTCCTTCAGGAGGCGGTTCACCCAAAGCGCGCGCTGATACTGCATCTCCTGTGGTTTCGCACAATATTTGGCGACAAAATAACACTTAAGAAATCAGTTAAATATTACGTCACTCTCACTGATTTTGGCAGTGCTTTGTGGTCACTCCCTTCAACATGGATTACGGATTGCCCCAGATTGCCCCATGGTTCAGCATTGGCTTCATGATTTCTACATGATTTCTGCAGCGATTCTACAGCTGTCCAAGGGATCCCTTAAGGATCTCGTGGATCCGGAGAAACGGTCCTCCTCCGCAGTCAGTAATGGTGCAGAAGACGCCTGCATATGACGCAAGATCACCTCAAATATCAAACAAATATCAGATACATATCACCTTAAGTTTACCATGATGAATGATATTCATCATATGATGAATCTATTGAATATTATTGACAATTATTGAATATTATTGAATATTGATATTGGATGATACTGGTTCCGATCTGTTGATTCTCATATGTTCATTAACGTTTGTCCTCAGCTTTCACTTCCTGCAATTCCTAGACCTGGACTGCAAAAAAACGTGTCCCAATTGTCCCATCATGGCCTGGGGTGACTCTCTTGAGTCTTCCTGCTTGGCCTTACGAATCAAAGGACTGGTTTGCGCATCGCCATCAGTGCCAGCTTGACATGGAAAGGATCCACAGCACAAGATCATCCCATATCCCAGCGATCATCGATGCCGAGCGGCTCGTGATGCAGCCTCGGGACTTGTGAGTCAAATGTAATCAGATCCATTCAGATCCCGTGGAACACATCTCTCAGTTGCAAACAAAATGTCAGACTTCGCTAAATCAACGGTTTGAGCCCCTGAGCATCGTAAAATCCCAGGAGATACGTTCCATATCGTTCCATTGTCAACAGATTGGTTGGGAAATGTTGGGCAGCTTGGAAAGTTCACTAATATCACTAATTGCAGTTGAGGAGCCATAAGTCGCCAGCGTCTCGTTGCTATGTTTGATGAACAATGAATCACAATGATGTGTGGAATTGTGTGGATGTTGTGGAATCGTATGGAATCGTTGCAAGGCGTCCAGTGCTTGTGCTTGTCATATCCATCTGATTTCTTTCTCACGCTGTTGGTGTGACTGCATTCTGTTAAAGGAGCTACACACATCTACACACGGAATATGCGTTTAAGCTGAACACTTGTGCAAAGATTCTGAGCCACTGGGCAGCAAGTCTGCAACAGTCAAATGAGCCCCCTCAAGTAGTGAACTTCACAAAAGCAGCAAAATGTAATCATCTAAGTATTCTCAAGTCATGTAAAGTCTGTTGAGAATGCAACTCTCAGATTGCGAAAGGAAATGTTCATTCACCGTCGCCAGCTTTTGGACGCAATGACAGCTTCGGCCATCTGAGTTATGTCCTGTTCGGTGGTCAACGGGGTCAAACGCTTTTGGAAAATTGCTGAAGTACGGAGGCGTTTGTGAGACTCAATCAATTTGAACAGGATCTGGTTCTCACATCAGCTTCAGTCTTGAATATTCAACCATATTCAAATTAATGCTCTAGAGACTCTAGAGTCCTTGTCAAGCTCCACACTAACATCTGAGAAGGCGTGTCTCCTCCGTGGGTTTCATTGCTGAATCTGAAGAGGTTTGCTCTGCACAGAAAACCGCTGCCCCGCCATGCCCCGCCTCCCCTTGCTTTGGATCCGAAGTAACGTGATGGGTCCAAGTACACATATTCCTTGGAGATTCGGATTGATTCCGACTGATTCGGATCGAGTGCATGAAATGATATGAAATGCATGAGGCGCCAATTTGAGAAATTCAAACAGAGAGAGCCAAAGGGACAGAACTTATTGACAGAGACAAACATTGATACATATCTACCGATATCTGTCTTTAAAATCTTTAAATTCGTTAACTACTTCTGACCGTGCACAAATGCGAAGCATGTGCAAAGCATCTGCGATGCGAAGAACAGAGTCTCTGAGGCAAGTCACGACTTCACTTGTTGGAGATGTTGGAGACATCGTTCGCATCTGCAACGCTTCATGTTTTCCGCTTCTTCCGGTTCTTCCGGCACGTCGTTCCCGTTCGAGCGACAGGAAGTGGTCGTCGGGGCTCGGCATCACCGAGACCTTCCGAGCTCGTGCCGGGCGCGTTGGGCACGTCGCCGGCAGCGTCGCCGGCAGCGTCGCCGCCGGGACCGCCTGCGGCGTGTCGTGCGTGTCGTTGACACGGCCGCGGCGCTGCTCCGCCAGATTCAGCAGGGTGCAGAAGTCCACGTCCACGTCCGTGTCCTCCTAGGGATGACCCACACAGCCAGTGGCACTTCCCGGCTTCGTCTATCGCTGACATTGATGGCTCACGACTCAACTCAGAATCTGCTTTGAAACATAGAATGAACAGAATGAACCGAATGAGTCAATGTTTTGCTCTCTGCAATTCTTCCGTTGTCGGTCGGGGTCGGTCCTCCGGGCCTTTGGCTTGAGGGCACTTCTGGGCAGAGCATTGCAAAGCCAAAAGAAACTTCCAATGCGGTCATTGGAAAATGCAGGAAATTGCTTGACTAATGCCCCCACTCATTTTACCAGCAGTTTTCGTCTTGTGGAAGGTGTGCCCATCTTCAGCAGAAATTGAAATCTCACAACCAAATTTGCGCCTTTGAAATGGGTTCCGTTTGTACTCCAGTGCTCACCAGATCTGGTCGGCTGGCTAGTCCTCTGGCTTGCTTAAAAAAAAAAACAAGAGAAACAAAAATCTCATACGGCACAATCAGCCATGAAGACGCTTGATTCTTGCACTGGTATGCTTTTAGCAGTGGATTCAAGTTCAGGCTGTTGCTTTTTGGGCCACCCAAAGAAAACGAAATATGAATGGCTTGGTTGCTCTCCTTTTGAAGGATGTGTGCCTCTGCCGACTGTCTCTTCGGCGTCCCTGACACTGACACCAAGTCTTCGACAAAACATCGCCAGAAGGTCCAAAGTCAGAGCAGAGCATTTGAAAAAAATTGCAACGCATTCTTCACATTTCTTCACTACATTTGCCTGCAGCAATTCACTGCAAAAGTATCACATGCGCCTTAGCTGCAGAACTTGGGCAAAAATGACAAAGTTACCAGGCCGGATTCGACATTGCTATACTGGCTATACGTCCAGTAGTTCAAGTATAGATCAAGATAGTTCAATGATGTTCAATGTTCCTTTCGAGTCGCTTGAAAGTCCGCATTGCCATGTCGAAGTTCCTGCCGGTAAACTCACGAACATTCCAAAGGGATCCAAAGGGTAGATTGGTAGATTGACTTTGGGTTACGATGCGATCGATGCGATCGATGCGATCGATGCGATCGATGAACACTCAAATTGATCAATTGATCAGCGCACTCTTCAAGCTGCATCGCATCGGCCATCCCCATAAGGGAAAGCCGGGAAAGCATCAAGGATATTCAAGGATTCAAAATTCTGCGCAGTGCAACGGATCGCCTTCATTGAGTTCACTCTCGACATCATGGTGGCCCATTTCCATCTTGACAGTGGCCTGAGCAGCATGGTTTGAAAATGTGTTACGCGACTTTGGCATTTGAATCTGAGAACATCGGAGATCGTTTCTCACAAAAAGTCCGGATCCCAACTTAGTTAATGATGTATAATTATTAATTATGTTCATTTCTGTCCTGAAGTCACACAAGATCACACATCACATGTGCAATCTCCGAGGTCGTAGCTGAAGCTCCAAAAAACTCGGGTGAAACCGCTCCGAAGTCCATGGGTTCGACTTCATGTCTGGGAGATGACTGGCGTTGAATCGTGTGTAGATTCAACTCATTCAACTCATTCAACTCATCCTCAGGCGACGTACATGAAATGAGTGAAATGGACATATTGGACATATTGGACATGAATTTTGCACACGTGGCACAGCCGGATCTCTGGATATCTTTCAATGTCTAAGAGAATAGTTTGTGGCCAGTCTGGCAGTCCGGCATAGCAGAGATGAGGTGATGATCACCAGGTGATGTCGAGAGGGGATCAAAAAAACAGGAAAATGCCAAGATAACAAGATATGACAAGATATGACAAGATATGACAAGCATCAAAATCGCATTACATTTCTTTGGTGAGAGTCTCCGAGACTCTGAGAGTGAGATGTGAAACTTGGCCCCACATGAGATGGACAAAGAACACAGAACTGCAAGGTTCACAGAATTCTGCAAGGATGGTGAAAATGATCAAGTTGGGAAAGTGAAAACAAAGATCTCAGGCCTCAACCAAGGATGGTGGTGCTTCTCCTCAAACCAGGAAAAAGAGTGAAGAGACGAGGCTGAAATGCACAGATCAGTTCATCCAAACAAGAGCACAGGATGGAACTTCCCATTCTAGAATTTTGTAGGAACTTCCAAACAATCTAGACTTCATGAGGCCAATTTAACGGCTCTGCACCTGTCGGATTCACTTCAGAATTCGGCTCCCATTCCTAAGCATTTTGTCGATTACAAGACATGACAAAGAAATGGCAGCTGTAGCAGCAAAGATCTACTCCAATCTACTCCAGGTGTTTTAGGACTGGTGACCCTAAAGGTTTGACACCAAGTCGCCAAGTTGGGAGATCTGCCTGACCAAGTCTTCAGCGTTTCAGAGACAGAGCAGTTGCACCATGTTGCACCGGTTGCGGCCTGCCTCTTGCGAGGGGATTCCATTTGCGCCATGACCATTTCATCGCAAGAAAATACGCTAATAATGCATTAGACTCATTAGACTGTTCTGCTTTCTGGTTTCTAGCTGCTCTAGCTATTGCCAATCAGCACCATTGGATGAAAGCCAATAAAAGAAAAAGACCCTGCCTTAACTATTCATCTGTTTGATTATGTTTTAAGTCAAGAAAAGAGGAGTTGCATATCTTGATCCTTGTGGGGAGACACTGTCTGTGCTGTTTGATACTTTTGCGACAACGTTGACACCTTCAAAGTCGCCATGTCATCTCCCGCAAAGTACTCACGGGCTGTTCCCGGGCTCAAAGCAAATCCACGGAGAATCCACGGTCGAAGCTGTTGGACTCCAAATGATCTCCAAATCCAAATGATCTCTTAACAACTCGACCGAGTCGACTGTTCTATGAGTCTGGGAGCGGCCGTTCAACTTTTCCATTTGGCAAGCCAGACCCAAGTCAGCCCCTTGCAGAATTGGGCAAAGCTTCAGTTTTAAAGACACCACTACAGAATCACGGCCATTATTTGAACTCAGGTGAGACAGTTCGCACGTGTCTGCTTTGCGCTCTTAGTGTGATGTATACAATCACGATGGTGACATTTGACATGACAGAATCTCTCTCAGGTTGTACGAAGTACTTTGGCCTCAGCCCACCATTGGAAGCAATTCAACCATATTCAAATCTCAAAAAACAACTATTGAAGCCTTGTTTGATATCTTTGTTTGATATCCTTGTGATTCTTTGTGATTTTTGTGCTTCTCTCTTTCGGCGCATCACGTGATGTCAGCGAGTTTCGGTGTGAAGCGGCTTAGACACGTTGGCTCTGCTCCGCGGGTCTTCGCCCTCAAGACTTTGGTCACACAGAAATTATACCGAAAAATGATCCCATATGCAGCTACACATGCATATATAAATATATATATATATATATATATGTATATATATATTGTGTTTTACAAAATGTATCAATAATGTCTTCCAAAGAATTGGGAATTGCGTTCAATCAGGCTGATGATGACTGATGACTGATGTCATGTTTGTTGCTGATTCGAGTGAAGTGGCCTTTCCACTATCACAACAGCAACAATTGGAGCCCCAAATTGGACCCTTTGAATGGCTGGGCATCTCCTCACATTTTCCGATCTCACATGTGTCAACTTCTCTGCGAAACCACCGGCCTCCTTGCTTTGACTTGCTGGGGATTGGCAGAAGCCTCAAGTTTTGGACCCCTTGAAGCTATCTTCGTGCATTTGGCTACAAAATGCTGCAAGTTTCTTGATATCTGCATGAGTCAGTATATCCAATGTACCTCTTCCCTCTCAAGGTTTGCGAATACCATTGCAACTCACTTCTTGTCTGGCCTCTTTCAGCTTGATCAGCTTGACATCTTACAGCATCTTACAGCGTCTCACAGCATTTCTCCATTCAGATGCAGGGAACTAAGGCAGCAACAACCGTGGTTTGCCTTCCTTACCTTGGACATCTCAAGCTGCAAAGCCGCACAATTGGTGTCTCACTGGATGGGGTGGAGCGGCTGAAGGAAACAGACTTGCAATGACTTAAGAAGCACTGAGAAACAGTTTCATATAGTTCCACATAGTTCCACAGTTGCAGACTGGCAGATCCAGGAATCAGCAAATCGTTTTTTACTGGCAACAGGATCAACAGGTTTTATTTCATGTAAGAGCGACTTCAAACAGATCGTGTTTCAATTCTTAGAGTCAGCGACATGTTTGTTCACCTCCATTGCTCAATCCAGGGCACTCGAAGAGGCTCCGAGCCCCTCCTTCAAGCATGCTGTGAAGGGTCACCCTTCGCCAACATCCCACTGTGCCACTCCCTGCGAAACCATTGAGTTTTAAATGTAATGAAACAACTTATGAACATCATACCTAGATTCTAGATAGTCGGCATAGTCAGCATGGTCATGTTTTTCTGATGACACAGGCATCATAGTGAATCATACTTATATATAGACTTATATCATATCTATGTGAATTACATGAACATACCTAGCGTTTGCAGCTGGGAGCTGTCCTCAGCCTTGGGTGAGCGCGCAGGCCTCTCTGGTGATGCCTTCCTGGCGTCACGTTGATCGCATTGATCCATCTTCGAACACGAAATCGGCAAAGATCTCGAATCTAGAATATCTCTTACATTAAATAGCTATCAATATGTCATGACATCAATCTGTCATATCTCATCATTGAATAACATTGAATGTCTATATCTATATATTATATCATATATATATATATATATCAAATCTATCGTTTCAGTTGCAGCCTGAGATGAATTCGGAATGAATTCGGATCTGGCGAGCTCGGACCTTACGCGATGAGCCAGCAGGGTCGGAAGTGTGCTCTTTGGCACACGCACATCCTGCCGCTCTCGGGTAAAAAAAGGGCATCGGAATCCGTGGACAAGTCCGTTGGACAAAATCCGGGGAGAATTTTGGGGTACCCAACCACAAGCAGTTTCTGTCACTTGCATCACTTTTGATTCGCATCTCTTTTGATGTGTGCCACTTCAGACCTGGAAATGCTCAGTCGCCTCGATAGCGTCATTAGCCTTAGTGGCTGACAAGCAAAAATCCGAAACGAATGATTGCAATAAAACGAAATACTGTAGACTCTTTCAGTAGGCCTAGATGAAGTATGAGTGAAGCATAGTGAAGCTATGGATGCGACTGATGCTAAACTTGAGATGTGCATGTTTGACATTCAGTGTCTACTGTGTCTACTGTTCTCGGAACGCTTACTGTCACGGAAATTGAAAGCGGCATAGAATGCCTTGGACGAAACAGGACTTGCAGTGTCTTACAATAGATACAATAGTAGATCACAAGAGTATATCCGCAAGGAATGACTAAGGAGATCCCTGTGTGTGTTGTGATTAGTCATGTTCAAACATTCTTGAAAAGGAAGTGTATGCCGCATAATTTCGGATAATCCTCCTTCCCTACCTTAATCATCACAGAACTTTCCACTTTGACAGCAGAAATCACATCTCGCCCACCTCCATGAAGGTATTTTGCTGGCTCGGTGAAGCAACCTGACAAAAAGGGGCCGGATTCGCAGCTCAGTGGGACCTGGGAAGTCTTATAACAGTTACTAAGGACAATCAGCCAGAGGGGAAAAAAGTTTTCACAGTTAAACAGAGTTAAACATGGCAAAAGCTGAGATGCTGAGACTTTGAGTATATTGAGAATATTGAGATATATTGAGCATATATTGAGCCAAGCAACACTGAAGCACTGGCATGCTCCCATGGATCGCTTGATTTCGATGAGCGTGAAAGAAAATCAAAGGAAACCCATGGGAACACTGTACATTACGATACATTACGTATATGGACCATGGTCAGAAGCTTTTTGTGACGCAAAGATGATCCGAAAACATGGAGGAAATGAAATGTGGAAAACATGTTTTTCCGAATTTGCGAGTCTTTATGTTCACTTCTTTTCAGCATGCGCAACAGGTTTCACACGATGAACAAACAACCTAGTTTGTGCCAAAGATGTCGGTGCACATTTCGATTGCCAACCTGCACCAACACCAAACCAACAAAAAGCAGCTCATCTGACTTTGCAGAATGCCTTGAATGCCAAAATGCCCTAAGATTGAGAGTCCGGTTGAGAATCAGACTGAAAGTATCTGAAAGTCAGATTGTACTCTGGAGCAAAGGCCAAGCTATGTATCTTTTCATCCACGCAGCGGAGTCTGAAGACTTTGGTCTTTGCGTTGCGAAACAACATGAAACAACCAAAGTCCATGGCTGTTCCTTCAACTTTCCAATCTTTCCAATCTTTCCTTGGTGTTTTTTATTGTTCTCTAGTTTTTCTTCAATAAGTCTTTGATCTTGGAGGTCTCCTTGATGCCGTTCGCATAATCCTCAGCCAAAATCAACGGCCATAGTTGCCATATGTTGCCATTCAGCTGTTCCACCGTTCCACCCATGGAAAAACACCTTCATTTGTCATATTTTGTCATCCAATGCTCTCAAGGCTGTTCACATCCCCAGTTCACATCTCTAGACCAAGTCTCAGTAACATTGCTCAAGGACAGCTGACCGCCTACAAACTGGGACACAAAAAAAAAATGTCACGCAGCAAAAAAACTCGTCAAAAACGCACAGCCTAGTGGCCTAGTGGCCTAGTTCATTGAATACATCATTGAACAATTCATTGAATACATTATGCACATTATGCACATTATGCACATTGAATAGCGTTACAGTAATTACAGTAAAGCGTTCTCACAATACACAATACTGTTCGGCCCACCGATGAAGAGATCCAGAGACTCGGTTCGCGAATTGTCTGCCCGGTTGGAGTCAAACTTTTTCTTGCGAGACCTCGAAAAAATGATAACGGAGTCGCGTTTAAAAAAACAAGCCGTCCAAGCCGATTCACAACTATTCACAACTAATATCAACTAATAATGGGATATAATGGGAGTATAATTATATAGTTGATATTAGTTGTCTCCAAAGTTTCATGATCTGTGGGGATCGAAAGATGGTGAAAGGAACACTCATGACAGGTGACAATTTATGAAAATCTGACACATGACACTTCTGTAAATATGTAGGCGATGCACTTCTCCAGGATCTTGTCCACCATGCTGCCCTTTTTGACTTTGCTGTCAAGGTTCTGCATGGCAGGGCTTATCTACGTCATCTACACTTGCACCACAGCTGGAACAGCTGGAACAGCTGGAACACAGGACAAAATTTGACCGTGCAATGTCAGTGTTTGGCTCTGCGGCTCTACTTTCACCTATGCTTTCACCTATGCTTTCACCTATGCAGTATGCTCGTTGTATCTCGTTCAAGGTCAGAGTCATTCAGAGTCCATGGTTTCTGTCGTTTCTGTCTTCTTTCAGAATCGGCTTCTGTCTCCATCCTCTCCTGCTCTGCTTGGGATTGTTCGCAATAGAGTTTGCACGCCTCTCCGCAGCTCACAGCTCACAGCTCACAGCTCACCGCAGCTCAGCACAGCTAGCGGAGAGGTCGTTCCACGGGTCGTTTCACGGGTCGTTTCACGGGTCGTTTCACGGGTCGTCTCAGTGCAGACCTTCTGGCAGTACTCGTCGTTGTTGGGCGCTTTTTGATTGCAAATGGCAAGGCCTTGGAAGAGGAAGAAACATTAAGAAACATTAAGAAACTCCAAAGAAACCATTCAACAAACTCAACACATGCAGATCTGCAAGGCATCAACTCATCTGCACTAGCAGCAAGGCCAGCAAGGGGTCAAGGCTCTGACACTTGTACGTACAAATCGAATCTTGCCTGGCCTCAGATTCAATCACGAGTACATGATATTCATCATATTATGCATATGCAACATGATTCCAACATGCAGCAGTATCTATGAAGACGCAATTCCCCCATTCTAAAACATCTCAAACATCTGCACTCCAGAAATAACTGAGTGGATCACATCATTCAGGGCCCAAGCACTTTGAGCCTTACAACATGCACATTCCACTGGATGATGTGGTTGATCTGTGAGATCTCAATCATATCATATCTTCTGCTAAAAGACAATTGATGATCATACTGCTCTGGACTTGCTTGGCATATCTCTGTCAGCTACGCTATGACCCTTCAAAGGCCCTCAAGATACCTAACGGGACCCTTGTCAGATCCAAAGCCAACAAGAGGACCCGCCCAAATTGTGCCTGAAAAGCAGCAGCTGTCCCTAAGGCGAAAAGGCCTTCCTTAGTGGCAACAAGCTGGTCTAGCTTCCTTCTGTCATTCACCCTTGATGTTTTTTTGGGCTGTCTGGAAGCATGAAGCATGCGCATGTCAGTGGTTCTCCCGGTGCGCCCAAGCTTTGTCGTGTTTTGCATCAAATCCCGGATCATCCAGTCTCTTCCATCAAATTTAGGAGAGCATGCACCTACCGCACTCAAATCAGAGGCAAGTCTCTCTTCGACCACATCCAGTTGGGGCAGAAACCTGCACTACAGCGGTCCTAATTCCATAACAGGCATGAACCAACGGATGCGCTGGTAGATTTCCCATGAATTCCGTGAGTTTATTGATGTTTGCTCATCTTTGCTCATCTTTAGATTTCTACCCCCACCTCAGGGCTGGGTGAAGGGGACAAGAAGACGTTGCTCCTGGCAGTCAAATTCGGGCACAACCAAGCAGCTATGGCAGCTATGGCTCAAACATGCTCAAAAATGTTGCAGATTGTTGCAGCTTTGCAGCCAGCTTTGCTCAGAGCTTGCCACCTGAAAAATGCAAAAGCAGCAACGGCTGCAATGGCCACAAGGCGCCGATGGCTTCCCATGATAAATTGCCACGCAGCCGCCTTGTTATCGAATCAGTACCTGTTTTTCTCGAATCAGAAGCGCTAGCAGAACGCACATGACTCGCACATGACGCATCTTGGAAACTTGCGGAATCTTTCTAACAAGCTGTCTAATCTGTCTAGCAACCTAGAGTCTTGTGCTGCTTGGATAGGTGAAGCATGATGCAGCCTTGGTTTTTCAAAATCTATGAAAATCTGGATCCAAAATGGCAGTAGGGTCGGCAATTCAAGCAGCCTGGACTAGTGACATGACAAGCTGTCGGGAATTAGATCTAATTAGGCAATACTGCAGCTCTCAGCACAAATCTCGATGCAATTTCACGGATTCTCGTGGCTCTTTTTCTTGTGGCCTCAAGTGTCGAAAATTGTTTACACCAGATTTCTTCTATTCGCCGGTCTTCCTCCCAAGAGGTTCATTCGCTCAGTCGGGGTCAGCGAGTTGCCCAAATGTTCCGCAATATCCTGATGCGACATGGAGCCTTTAAACCGATATGTGATGCCTACCAAACTGCAACCATCTGCTTAAAATCACTCTGCCATCCGCCTCCACATTTTCGATGAGGTCCAGGATGTCCTCCTGAGGCGGAAAAAACATGAAAAATGATGGAAAAATGATGGGAGCTTTCGTGCTGCGTTACACATCGCAGCTCGGCCAAGCTGCTGCGCCCATCTCTTTGCACCACTCGTTGACCTCAACAGAGAGATCACATGAGACGACAAAATAAAAAAAAAACGGGTAAAAATGGTAAAACCATAACTGACTTCACAACTGACTTCACTGGACTTCCCTTGACTTCAATTTCTGTCATGTCTAAGACTTAGAATTTCGACATTAGGTAACATGAAACATGAAACAACCACACAAACCAATGACTAACATACTTTCACAGAGCATTTTGGCAAGGCACTTCCGAAAAGTGTCGACGTAAGCCACGACAATCCAACCAATCTCGCAGGCCGCGAACAACCTTTGTCAAAGCTGGTGGAGGTGGACAAAGTGAGAAAAACAAAAGAGGAAAATGATGTTCATGAAATCAAATAATCTGAAATATATCATGAAATATGAAATATATCATGTAATTACTATATTGTCATACAGAAAGGGAAGACACTGAAGGGTAACTGCAAACATTCTTGAACGAATTCGCACCTCATCTGAAGGATAGAATGCTGCCTCGGGTTTTTTTTAGCTAACTCAGTTAACTCCTTTCCAGCACTGTGATACCACTCATCTCAAGCCTCCAAAGTCCCATCTGGGGCAGCTACCCACTTCGCAGCTGCCTCCTTTGAATCGCCCAGTTTTCGCAGTTTGTTGCGTTTGGCAAAATCATCCGCAGCCTGCGAAAATTTTGGCAAAAAACTCACCATCTGGTTGGTGGTTGAGCCTACCCCTCTGAAAATATATTACAGTAATTCGTCAGTTGGGATGATAACATTCCCAATATATCCCCAATTAATATGGAAAGTCATAAAAGTCATGTTCCAAACCACCAGTATCCACCAGCCATGGAGGTGTTCCAGCAATCCAAGTCTCGTGCCGAAATGACCAGAGGATGCACGCCTTAAACATCATGGTCCATTCCACTCCGTCCGTCTTCATGATCTCCTGAACACATGGCCCACATGGCTGTCTTGTCATATCTTGTCATATTCAAAGCTGTACCTTTTCGGAAGGAAAAACATGAAAAACAGAGGACAGAAACATATAGATCATACAGTAATATACAGTAATCAGATTGAGATAGATTGAGAGTAGGGACAGTAACATCAGTAACCACAAGATTCGCATAGATTCGCAGGAAGTGAGGCCCAGAAAATCCCAGGAAGTGCTGAAAGGAGCATATCAATTCACTCTATCCGTCATCATCCAATCCAGTTGACCTCTGGTTGACCACTGATAGCCTAGATCTCCAATTGTCTGAAGTTGATTCCTCCACATTGACAAACATGTCATTTTTTTATCATGTCGTAGCCCAGCACTTGTTGATCAGAAACTGTTTGACAGGCTAACAAGCCACAAAACAACAGCAGTTACGCGCTTGTTTCTTGAGCCATAAGCACGACATAGTATAGGTGAGAATGGTAAGTATATGCAGTGATACATGTGAAAAACACCCCCCGCCGCCCCGTAGTTTTAACGGAGGACGGAGAGGCCAAATGAACTCGATCGCCAGAAGTGACCTGAGAGCGATCAGAGTGAAACATGACATCACTGTCTACCTATCCACCATCGTGCATTGGTCAAAGCTCAACGGATGCATGAGGCATTGAAATCGGATGCATATGTTTTTGTGATCCCAGGTAAGGCACGTGTTCGACAAAGCAAAAGTGACATCGGCCTGGCTTCCGCCAAGGCATAGGAGCATTACCACTCCTGTATTGCCCTGAAAACTTGGAAGCTACTGTAGCAGGCTAATGTACACGGCTAATATACACGCAATCTACCGTCAAGGATCGGATGCTGGTGTCAATCTCTTTTTGAATCAATTGGGAAAAGTTTTTCAAGTTAATCAAGTTGGAACTTTAAGTTTGGAAATGTGTGCAATTCGATTGAACTAAATGACCATGGGTCAGCTTTCATCCAATCGGCCAAACCTTCCGGTAGGCATAAAATCATGGCACAAGATGTGAAACATCTACCACGACTCAAACTCTACCGTCCCATCATTGTAGGTGCGCTTGAAGTGCGGCTGGCCGTTGATCTCGCAGTACTCTTCGGCAATCACCACTGGTGCACGAGGCACCTGTCGCGGAGGCTCCGCTGCAGGAGCTGATCCAGAAGCCGCTTGAGCAGGGTCACCAGCAGCAGGGGCTGGGTCAGGCACAGGCGTTGCTGTTGAAGGTGGGTGCACCGGCTCTGGTGGCGCTGCCGAGGAGCTTGATGCCGTAGATCTTCCCCAAGGATCAGCTGTCCAACCTCTGCCAGAGTAGCCCTGATTCCAATTCCAGCTTTGCCATTGGGCCTGCCCTCCCGAGCGGCTTGAATAAGATCCATATGAATCCCATTGTTGCCGTCGGCTCCATCCACTGCGACACTCAAAGGATTTGTGGCCATACTGACCGCACTTCCAGCACTCAATGGCCTGCTGAAAGATTGGACGTTGTTGCTGACCAAAACCTTTGCCTTTGCCCTTGGCTGGCTTCTGAATCGGGTCAAAGTGACGCCGATATCCCTCTCGCCCTTCGCCAGTACCCGTCTTCGAGGACCTTGCCAGTGGAAACTCAGCCACATCTGATGCAGTGGCTTCATCAACGAAGGAGTTCTTCGCCCTTGATGTTATTGTATTGTTCCTTCCACTGCCTCTTCGCGAAGTCGACCAGGTCGAAGAAACAATCCTGGGCAGACTGTTGATCCACGGGCATTACTGAGCCCGACCAACCAAATAACATCGGCGTGGGTTCCCCCCTCGCTTTCAGCAGGTCCGCAGCAAGAACAGCAAATTGGGGGAGTGTGAACACTCGTGCATGATGTGCAACCATGGCTTCCTTGGTGACGTCCAACGGGAGTCGGATGTCTCTGTTGAAGTCTGGGATGAAAATCAAACGAGTGCTGACACCTGTTCCCACAGCTGCTTTTCTCGCTTCTCTCGGGTACGGCCAACATCAGGGGCAATGCATTTTGCCAAGTCCTCCAAGAACTGGCAACAGTCTGGGGTGATCTGGCCGACCGCATTGTTAAACAAATAAAATGGGTCCTTCTCCATGCGGTCCTGGATCGATTTGAAGCCGAGCTTTGAGTATCTTCCCGCATGTGTCTGAGCAGCGTCTTTGAGATTTCCGAAATTGCTTCGTCCAGCTCGACGTTGATCTGCTCGAGTGCGGTCGGACACTCGCTGAGCCCGAGGCTGCTTCTCAAAATCGATTTTGTCCAGAGAAAACACCTTGTTGGTCTTCTTGGCCGAGATTTCCATCCGGCATACCTCTGTCGCAATCCTTCCATCCGACCAAGCAATCAGCCATTTGAAGCACGACTGACACTCGTGAGTGCCCTCAATGTTCTTCTCGCCGCAGAAGTGGCATCGGACCTGCTGCATCTCAATCTTTGTGCTGTAGATGTAATCCTCAGCATTGGTTGAGCGCTGGGCCTGCCCTCCCGGGCGGCTTCCTTTCCCTTTGCCTTTTCCTCGGCCCTTGCCTTTGCGAATGGTCTCTGCATTCGACAAGGCACCAAAGGAGGCCATCTTCAACGTCAACTTGTCCTCAAAGGGTCCTGAAGTTCCTTCACGTCGACGGAGAAGTGGGGGAAGCTCTTCCGGAGAATCTGTCACCTGCATCTCACCAGGTCGGATGGACTTGCCGCTCATGAGGTACGCCTTCAAACTGTCCCTGGCGTTGGCATACGGGCTCTTTGACAATGCCTCTCTCTTCGGAGTGTCCTGGTCCCGCTGGGTCTTCATCTTGTTGTTGTACCCGACACGAGTGATCTCGTAGGGGCGGTTGACCCAGGCAAACTCCCGATTGATGGCATCATAGGTGCATATGATGTTCTCGTTGGATACCCAGTCAGGGCTAATGATTGCTTCGTCTGTGCGAAACAATCGGCAGCCGCTTTGGACGATGAGCTCGGTGTCAAAGGCAATGTAGTATTGCTTCCCGGCTCGCGTTCCCGCCAGCTTCTTGCCACCAACTGAGTCATCCCACGGGTGTGACGCGATAAAGAAATTGTGCGCCCTTCCCGTTCTTTGGGGCCAGCCACCTGGGATGAGGCCGTGTTCAACTATCTTTTCCATAGCGAGACGGTCGCAGCTATGGTAGATAACCCTTGGAAGTGCAGCCAGCATCTCAGGCACAAGGTCTGGACGAAGGTTGGTCCTGGGCAACTTGGGCGTGTCGAGGTCTGCCTTGGTAAAGGTTGGGTCCAAAGTAAACACTTGCTTCACCAGCGAGGAAATTTTGGCATTTTCGACGACGGCACGATTGTGTCCTTGGACAGCTCGGATGGCAACAACCTTCCATGGCAAACCCTTCCAGGTTGCATCAGGCAAATCGGGCTGAGCCACTTTCACCTGAAAGCGCCTGGTGTCACTGTTGCGCACGATGGACAGGACCTCACTCACCTTCGGGTAGGAGACGTAGTGGGCCATGGTCTTCATCACGGCATCGAAATCCATCGACATATCCATGGGATCGATGTCTGGGCTGCGAGCACCATAGCTCAATGCGTGTCCCCTCAGAACATAAGATAACTTCGTAGAAAGAAATCTCAGTCGCCCTTGGCCGCAATACTCCTTGGGAATCCTGTTGGCCATGTCATTGGGGTCCAACCAAACTGCTCCTTCTTGGCGTTCTGTTGCTTCTTCCAACTTGCGAAGAGCTGCATCAGCTTCGACACTGAGTCGCGGCGCTTTCTGTCTGGGCATCGCCTTTGACTCCGGCGCCTTTTGCTTTTCACTCTTCGGCATTTTCTTTTCGGCCGGCTTTCCAACTGGCTTGTCAACCTCCACCTTCTTCTCGGTCTTGGTCAGGTCGACAATGGCAGTCTTGTCAGCAGGCTGTTCGGACGAAGCAGAAGCCTCAGGAATTGCAGCATCAGTCGGCACACCCTCCCGGGCAGCATCAGCACCTTCCTTCTTCCCGGTGTCAACGTCCATGGCAGTGGCTTCGGATCCACCAACCTCAGTCCAAGTTGAAAATCCTGGAAGATGTCATGTCGCTGGGCTTGGAATCATCATCACCAACCACACTCCACGTTGAAATTCTCGATGAAGTCATGTCTCCCCCCTCCTTGTCGGCCTTGGCAAGTGCTTCTTTTGCGGCAGCATGGACAACGGCCGTCGTTCCCGAAGGCTTCGCCTCAGTGGATGTGATCTCAGTGATCTTGTTGAGATCTTCAACCTCCTTGGCTCTTTCCTCCGAGATTTCATCTTCCTTGACCTTCTCGTCATGGGGATTGACAATGATCTTCTCATCAAGAATCACGTCCCACTCATCAAACTCGGGAACAACCTCAGCATCGTCATCGACATCAGTGTTCTCCGGGTTGATCTCGATCGATTCAATGGTCGTAGTTGAGAAACCATCAGCAACGGCCTGATTCAAATCTTCTTGAAGGTATTGTCGGGCCCTGACTTCTTCGGTTTCATAGTCCTCGATCGATGGGTCAATGGGGACGATGGAGCTGATCTCTTCATCAGTGAAAGCAGTGGGCTGCGGCCTTCCCTCCCGGGTGGCTTCCTCGTTGGCCTCAAGAATCCCTGCATGGACCCACATGAGGATCTCCTCATCTGCCTCGTCGAAGACCTGGGCAGGGGTTGCCGTTTTCTTCTCGGTGGAGACGGCTTCCATGACTTCCTGAGTGCCGAGCAAAGCCAGACGGAACTGAACCATCGTTGGGAAGAGATGGACCGCGGCCACACGGTCTTGCTCGTTGCTGATGAACTCCCTCACAAAGTACCTGAGTTCGTCCTTCTTCGACATGAGCTCAACATATTTGAGGTGGAAGGTGATGGCACCTCTCAAGAAGCGGTAGACCAGTTTCCGATTGAATTGGTGGTCATGAAGGTGGCAATTGTCGTATTTCCCACCCTGAGCGAGCATAGTGGAGTTCACACATTGGATGCCACGCTCTGCCAGCCAATTGATGTGCTTGCCCATCTCACGGTTGTA